GAACGCGTCTCCTTCCTGAGCGGTATGACGGCTGCGTGGTCCCATGGTGTTTATACTTGCGTACTATTGTTTGTACAGATGAACGTGGTAAATTCAGGCGTTTGGAAATTGCTCCCAAGAATGAACCATACTTGTGGAGGTCCACAATTTTTTGGGTTTGAAGGTAGGCCATGAAATGCATCCACAGGTACATCTCCAATTGACTCAAATTATGTCAATTAGCCTAGAAGCATCTAAAGCCATGACATAATTTTCTGGAATTTTCCAAGCTGTTTAAAGGCACAGTCAACTTAGTGTATGTAAACTTCTGACGCAATGGAATTGTGATACAGTGAATTATAAGTGAAATAATCTGCCTGTAAACAATTGTTGGAAGAATTACTCGTGTCATGCACAAAGTAGATGTCCTAACCGAAATTTGTGGAGTGGTTGAAAAACGAGTTTTAATGACTCCAACCTAAGTGTATGTAAACTTTCCGACTTCAACTTTATGTAAAAATGCTGTTCATTGACTACAGCTCAGCCTTCAACACCATAGTACACTCCAAGCTCATCATTAAGCTAAGTGTGCAACTGGGTCCTGTTGTGGTGAAGGTAGGAAACAACATCTCCACTTCGCCGATCCTCAACACTGGGGCCCCACAAGGGTGCGTACGCATATGAAATCAAATAACACATATGAAATCATGTAGTAACCAAAAAAGTGTTAAACAAATCAAATATATTTGAGATTCTTCAAATAGCCACCCTTTGCCTTAATGACAGCTTTGCACACTCTTGGCATTCGTTGAACCAGCCTCGAAGGAGTTCCCACATATGCTGAGCACTTGTTGGCTGCTTTTCCTTCACTCTGCTGTCCGACTCATCCCAAACCATCTCAATTTGGTTGAGGTCAGGGGATTGTGGAGGCCAGGTCATCTGATGCAGCACTCCATCACTCTCCTTCTTGGTCAAATAGCCCTTACACAGCCTGGAGGTGTGTTTTGGGTCATTGTACTATTGAAAAACAAATGATAGTCCCACTAAGCGCAAACCAGATGGGATGGCGTATCGCTGCAGAATGCTGTGATAACGATGCTGGTTAAGTGTGCCTTGAAATCTAAATAAATAATTGACAGTGTCACCAGAAAAGCACCCCCACAATCATCACACCTCTTCCTCCATGCTTCACGGTGGGAACCACACATGCGGAGATCCTCCGTTCACCTACTCTGCGTATCACAAAGACACAGCGGTTGGAACAAAAAATCTCAAATTTGGACTCATCAGACCAAAGGACAGATTTCCACAGTCTAATGTCCATTGCTCGTATTTCTTGGCACAAGCAAGTCTCTTCTTATTATTGGTGTCCTTTAGTAGTGGTTTCTTTGCAGCAATCGACCATGAAGGCCTGATTCACACAGTCTCCTCTGAACAGTTGATGTTGAGATGTGTCTGTTACTTGAACTCTGTGAAGCATTTATTTGGGCTGCAATCTGAGGTGCAGTTAACTCTAATGAACTTATCCTCTGCAGCAGAGGTAACTCTGGTTCTTCCTTTCCTGTGGCGGTCCACATGAGAGCCAGTTTCATTATAGCGCTTGATGGTTTCTGCGATTTCACTTGAAGAAACTTTCAAAGTTCTTGACATTTTCCAGATTGACTGGCCTTCATGTCAAAGTAATGATGGACTGTCGTTTCTCTTTGCTTATTTGAGCAGTTCTTGCCATAATATGGACTTGGTCTTTTACCAAATAGGGCTATATTCTGTATACCCCCCTACCTTGTCACAACACAACTGATTGGCTCAAACGCATTAAGAAGGAAAGAAATTCCACAAATTAACAAGGCACACCTGTTAATTGAAATGCATTCCAGGTGACTACCTCATGAAGCCGGTTGAGAGAATGCCAAGAGTGTGCAAAGCTGTCATCAAAGCAAAGGGTGGCTATTTGAAAAATCTCAAATCTCAAATATATTTTGATTGTTTACACTTTTTTGGTAACTACATGATTCCATGTGTTATTTCATAGTTTGATGTCTTCACTATTAATCTACAATGTAGAAAATAGTGCAAATAAAGAAAAACCCTTGAATGAGTAGGTGTTCTAAAACTTTTGACTGGTAGTGTTTATTCATACTCTGGACTGCGACATTGCTCGTCTTAATTCCATTATTTTACCTTTTAGATGTGTGTATTGTTGTGTATTGTTATTATATTATATTATATATATATATATATATACACACACACACACATACAGTGGGGAGAACAAAAATCCAGAAAATCACATTGTATGATTTTTAAGTAATTAATTTGCATTTTATTGCATGACATAAGTATTTGATCACCTACCAACCAGTAAGAATTCCGGCTCTCACAGACCTGTTAGTTTTTCTTTAAGAAGCCCTCCTGTTCTCCACTCATTACCTGTATTAACTGCACCTGTTTGAACTCATTACCTGTATAAAAGACACCTGTCCACACACTCAATCAAACAGACTCCAACCTCTCCACAATGGCCAAGATCAGAGAGCTGTGTAAGGACATCAGGGATAAAATTGTAGAACTGCACAAGGCTGGGATGGGCTACAGGACAATAGGCAAGCAGCTTGGTGAGAAGGCAACAACTGTTGGCGCAATTATTAGAAAATGGAAGAAGTTCAAGATGACGGTCAATCACCCTCGGTCTGGGGCTCCATGCAAGATCTCACCTCGTGGGGCATCAATGATCATGAGGAAGGTGAGGGATCAGCCCAGAACTACACAGCAGGACCTGGTCAATGACCTGAAGAGAGCTGGGACCACAGTCTCAAAGAAAACCATTAGTAACACACTACGCCGTCATGGATTAAAATCCTGCAGCGCATGCAAGGTCCCCCTGCTCAAGCCAGCGCATGTCCAGGCCCCTCTGAAGTTTGCCAATGACCATCTGGATGATCCAGAGAAGGAATGGGAGAAGGTCATGTGGTCTGATGAGACAAAAATAGAGCTTTTTGGTCTAAACTCCACTCGCCGTGTTTGGAGGAAGAAGAAGGATGAGTACAACCCCAAGAACACCATCCCAACCGTGAAGCATGGAGGTGGAAACATCATTCTTTGGGGATGCTTTTATGCAAAGGGGACAGGACGACTGCACCGTATTGAGGGGAAGATGGATGGGGCCATGTATCGCGAGATCTTGGCCAACAACCTCCTTCCCTCAGTAAGAGCATTGAAGATGGGTCGTGGCTGGGTCTTCCAGCATGACAATGACCCGAAACACACAGTCAGGGCAACTAAGGAGTGGCTCCGTAAGAAGCATCTCAAGGTCCTGGAGTGTCCTAGCCAGTCTCCAGACCTGAACTCAATAGAAAATCTTTGGAGGGAGCTGAAAGTCTGTATTGCCCAGCGACAGCCCCGAAACCTGAAGGATCTGGAGAAGGTCTGTATGGAGGAGTGGGCCAAAATCCCTGCTGCAGTGTGTGCAAACCTGGTCAAGACCTACAGGAAACGTATGATCTCTGTAATTGCAAACAAAGGTTTCTGTACCAAATATTAAGTTCTGCTTTTCTGATGTATCAAATACTTTTGTCATGCAATAAAATGCAAATTAATTACTTAAAAATCATACAATGTGATTTTCTGGATTTTAGAATCTGTCTCTCACAGTTGAAGTGTACCTATGATAAAAATTACAGACCTCTACATGCTTTGTAAGTAGGAAAACCTGCAAAATCGGCAGTATATCAAATACTTGTTCTCCCCACTGTATATACATACATATATATATATATATATATACATATATTATTACATATTACTACACTGTTGAAGAAACACAAGCATTTCACTACACCCGCAATAACATCTGCTAAATATATGTGTATGCGACCAATAACATTTAATTTGATTTTGATATGATGGTTATTATATTAATATTTGCACATAAAAGCATTTCCACTGCAATTTCTAGCATAATTCATTTTACAGTTGAAAAAAATAGCTAGTTTTGTCGATATTTGTAGAGTTTTACCAAACAGGTTGGATGGAAGCATAGTTACTGGTAGTAAACATTTATGGAAAAGAAACTGAAATTCTATTTTTTAAAAAATCACATCAAAATGTGTCAAAAACATGTGAAATCTGAAAATAAATATTTTTGTATTTCGCTATCAGCAGCATCACATTTTTGTGGGTTTTCTATGCATGAAGAACATTAACTTACTTTTAGTAATATTTGGTTGTCCTTCTGGTTTCATTTGGAGAGATTTTTACTTCTTTAGAATGGAAGAATGGTAGTCAATGGCAGTATTCTGACCTAATAAACCACACATTTTTTGTCAATATATAAATTCTTGCTCTTTTGATGTTTAGAGGGAACATCACAGTTACTTGTGGAGTAATTAGTTGTCCATATTTGCAGTATTTGGAAAGGAAACCTACTCGTCTATCAGTATATGAACCTTACCCTGTCTTAGTTTAGCAACCCTTTCAGCCTATTGATGGTTTCTGTTTCAGAAGGCAACTGATTCTACAATAATCATATTGACACACAAATACTACTAAGAGTTACATTGGGGTCTAAGGAAATGTACTATGTAGGGTTTGACATGATTATTTAGCTTAGGACCTGTACAGGATGACATTTTGGCAACCATGGGTCTCGCAGGGTTAAGCCCTTTTTCTACTTCCCCCAACTAAGTTGAAGGTAGTTTAGTGAGCCATTGCTAATTAGCGTTAGCGCAATGATTGGAAGTCTATGGGAACACCAGACTTCCGGTCACTGTGCTAACACTAGTTAGCAATTGTGCTACAGCTAGTTAGCAACTTCCTTCAAAATGGTATCCATGAATTCATCTGACGCTAGGTAAGTAGAAAAAGGGCTTATAGGCCCAAATCTCACACTATCCACTTAAAAGCACGTTTCGGCAGAAGAAATCCTTCACGCCGGAAAAGGAGCAATTGTCCTGGTACAGAGCTGGTATTTAATATACACACAGTACTTAGCTAATATGTGATGTAATGATGTCTAGTACTTACGCTTTGACCATCTGGTAGTCTGAGGAGTTGAAAACATAACCCCCGATGACCCACATGACCCCCTGATCCACTACGGCCTTGTGGGAAGCCCTGGCCAGCCCTGGCTCGGGGTACTCTTCCCGCTGCCAGAACGAAGAGTTGGCCGGGACGGACACAGAGCAGTCTGGACCTGATGGGGGAAAGAAGACGTACATGTTAGAGCCTGACTCCCTTATTGGGCTTCACAAACTTCACAGGAAATAAAGTTATTTTTGTCCACTTTTACTATGATAATTTGATGTCTTTGTGTCCATATGTCTTTTATTTCAGACATTTTGCAGAAACACCATCTATTGCCCGGAGTATCATCTAAGGTAAGTCTAAAAACTCAGTGAATTTAACCTCATCTTAATATGTGACCCGTTTCAGGAAGCACGTCACTACATCACAGGAGAGGCATTTGATTTGTTTTCTTTTTGGGTTTTTTATGATCAAAATGCGTTTTCTGGGGCAGAAATGCCTTCTGGAACATGTGAACTTTCATGTGCCTTAATAACAAACGTCCATCTGTAAATACGAATAAAATGGTTAAATTATGAGCCTAGTTGGTTTAGCCACAGAAAAAGACAGGAACCTTCCAGCTAGCCATGATTGGCTGAGATAATCAATGGGCGGGACATCCCGGGAGATGAGTTTGGATTGGTCTGCCATGTAGCATGCTTCTGTCTATAACATGAGCTGCTCAGTATATGTTGATAGTCCTTTCTACTGCAGCGTTTTTGAAAGATATGTTAGCAATCGAGAACTACAAATTTAGCAGGCACTATCGACAGATCAGTTGGAAAAAGTGATGGGCTACTTTCTGCACAAGCCACGGTCATTGTGAACCGGAGTGACTTGACACAACGCTGGCCAAAAAAGATGTAGCTACAAACAAAACAGAGTTAAATGGTTCCAGTCTGCCGTGAAGCGTTCATCCATGTATACGGGTAAGTCTAGCTACATTTTCAGATATTATATGTATCTAATTTTGTCATAAAAGTCGTTTTCATTGCAAGTTAGCTAGCTAGCGAACATTATTTTGTTGGCTCGCCAGCTAACGTTGTGTATGATCTGTGTAGTAATATTATTCGAATCAGAAATCCTTTTGTATTGCTAGTTATAGCCTAATGTTAGCTAGCTAACATTGAACCTAGTTTGTTAGCTTTAGCTACCTGCAGATTCATACTACAGCTATGACAATGTTTGTATTGGTAGTAGTATGAGTTGGGATTAAGCCGGTTCATTGTTTAGTTAGCTAAAAAAGACTCCACTTCGCCAGATGATTACATGACCCGTCAAGTTAGCCAGGTGTGGCTGGGGGTGATTACAGCCATCTATTGTATTTCATGAACATGTGTACATGTCTAGACAATAGTGACCCATCCACTTAGCTAGATGTGGCTGGGGGTTGGTTATAACATTTCTTTCACATGACCCATCAATTTACTGTGTCGGGTAAACGTCATCTAATAATGATACAAATATTTATGAAATATTTTTATCTGGACACATTCTGTTTTTGATATTGCTACTATGCAAGTAACCATTTCACTGTACTGTTTACACCTTCTGTATCCTGTGCATGTGCCAAATAAAACATAGATTTCATTTGATATTGTGGTTAACAAAGACAGCAATGTGAACAACATGACCTGCACCAAAGTCGGATTAGGATATTGGCCAAGGACTAGATAGTGTATTTTTACCTGGAGTTTACCTTTTTGTAGGCTTTCTACTTTTACCACTTTTGGTCTTGAAATCTTTGGTTGTTTACTACACCACTTACTCTGTAGACAAAGAAGAGCTCTCCAGTAGGTGTACCAAAACATTCAAGGACCATTTTTATCAAAAGTGGGGTAACTGTAGTGTATGATATACAATTTTCTAGCTCTGAGTCTCAATGTAAAAAAACAAACACAATTTCAAATGTTGCTACAAAGGACCGAATCCAGGTGGTGGGTCACATATTCATAATGAAACACCAGACTGACAGCTAGTATAGTAATGTACTGCTGAAACCCAGTCTCATGGCCCTTTAGATAATTAGTCCATTTGGAGTCTTACAGCATCAATAGGCCTACAGCTGATTATAATATCTCCACAGTATTGTCCAGTTAGAGCACCGTGACAGTGTAATGAGGGCTAAGACTGAAGCAGTCTGTTGGGATGAACACAGAGCTGCAATAGAGAGACCGGTTACCCAACGTTAGATTTAGTCACCTTCTCTGGCTGTTAAGAGCGCGTTCAGAACACCAGATGGCTTGATTTTATTAGTGCGTCTTTGAAATTATGGTAATTAACAGACAGGAGCCATGGAAGCCTGGCAGGTTAATGACACAAATAACACGGCTGCTACAGGAACACTGTGATGATGTCATTTCATAGCGTCATAGTGTTGTGTGAACCAGGTTAAAGTTAGTAGAGAAGTGGCTTGGTGCCACAGAGTCTGCATTCCATTATGTCAAGGGAGATTACTGATGTTTATGGTAGAATGATTGATGGATATGATATACTGACTTGGGGGGAAAAGGGAATAACATCAGAGAAGGGAGTACCCACTGATGGTTAACAGATGAAACGTGTAACTGAAGCTATATAAACTGAGATATGTTCTTTGTTCAGTAGTTTGGAATAGCTAGAGGCAAAGCACTGTCTTTTGTTATGCGAACCATGGTACCTATTAAATATTTATATGAACTCCCCAGATAAGTGTTAAATATCTTCTTGCATCATGAATTACTTGACACCCGAGAAACTCATCATAACAGATTGGCGTCTAAACGAACAGGATGCAGTTCACAGCCGAACTAACAGGTAAGCAGACTTTCATTTTTTTTGATTATGTCAAATTCTGCTTATCTGTGGTGAAGCTGAGCTGTAACGAACTTTTAAAATTCAATATTTTGGAGGGGGACGATGAGTGGTATTGAGTTATTTAGTGAGATGTGAGGAGAATTATCAAATTAGACAATAACAGGGGGTGCTATGATTCTATGAAGGGTTTGGTCAGAGTAATGACTAAAAACAACAGAGGAGAAGGAGAATGGGTGTAACAAGATTGGGCGTAGGGCCTTTTAATGTGTACGACATTATATAACATAGGTCAGAGGTTCGAGTCCTCAACATGACGAGATTATGGAGTGTACGACATTATAAAATAGAATAAACATTGGTCATAGGTTCAAGTCTTGGTAAAAGGTTATAAAGGCCCTATAAAATGTATTTTGGTGTAGGTTTGAGGCCTAAATCAGAGAGATATAAGTAAGAGAGATATATTTTTCAGAGGTTCAAGTCCTCAAGGAATTATAATTGATTTACATTTGAAGAGGTTCAAGGCCTCAACCATGTTGTAAAAGAACTAAGAGAAATTAGTATTTTGTTTGAAGGTTTGAGTCCTTGGTAGAAAGAAGACATTAATGTGAAAAGTTGTGAGGTTCAAGTCCTCAGCTGGCTTAGGGATAAAGGTCAGAGCCCTTTATCATGATGTTCAAGTCATAAGCATTATAAAATGACTGGGTTCGAGGCCCTTTGACGTGTACAAAATGAAGGAGACTCAACCTCTGACAGGTAGAGTACTGATGTGAAGAGAAAATTAGTAACTAGTGAATTACTCAAAACGGCCAGGAGATGGAGAAGATGCAATGCAACATATTGAATCATAGCACCAAAAAGTCAAAATAGGCAAACGACATTTAAATACAGAATGGGGATTTGATTTAAGTATTTAATTACTAATATTGCATGAACTAATAGCAGTAATGAATGACCAGCTTAGTAGACCGGTATCTGGAAAAACAGTCACCATTAAGAGTAAAGCAGAGCTTCATTTAACTCGAAGAGAGAAACAGGAAATGACAAAATTATTACAGGCAAATCTGCATTTAGAATAAGTCTCTTGTAAATTAAGTGAATTAGGATTTTTCAATGTGGGACCATATATCTTGGTGATTTATCCGCATGATAATGAGCAAGTTTTAATTTTTTAAGGGATAAATGACATATATACGCGAAAATATATAATTGACAATATCGTCGTAAGCAACAAGAAATGGGATTTACATTATATGAAAGAGGCGTATAAAGCTTTAATGAGCGCACGATGGCAAGGAAACATAAGTAATAAGGAGAAAAATTCAGCTAACGAAGTTAAGTAATTGAATGGGACAACATGGGCTATTTTATGAACAAAGAGCGGAAAGGACTTTTAATCTGAAATGGATTTGATAATTTGTTATAAGTTAGGATAAGATGTTACGATATATAACATAATTAAGTCATAGAATATCAAGGAGTGGAATGGAGACTGTTTTAGAGAGTAGGGGAAGTCCATTTTCTGGTTAAAAAGCATTAAAGTATTATTTGATGTGAGCGCCTAGAAGTTTCTAACGTTATATATACATATATATATATGTATTAACTTGCTCACCCAAACGTATGGATCATGGGTGGGGAAGTCATTAATATGGGTTTTCTAAGTTTGCACTGTTGTTAGATCCTTTGATAGAGATAAGATTTAAGAAATTAACTGCCCATTAGGTTGGAATTCACAGACGTAATTTATAATATAGTACGAAGCCGATTTAGGGTTTCCATTAAACTAACTATCATTGCGGAGCTGCAGTATTCTAATAATGGCGGATTGGTGGTTTCAGAAGAGCTGTGGCTATGATCTTAGTTGATAACAGGGGACATAGGATGTAGTTTACGACGCATAGAGAAACGAATGTCTTATCTTCATGGGAAGTGAAGCGAGGGAACTCAGAGAATAAAAGTTATATTAAACAAACACTAGGGATAACGAAGCAGAGTATGAAAGATAACATTGACTAGGAATATGGCAACTTTTGGTTGAGGTTTTCACACACTGTTGCTGGTATTTTGGCCCATTCCTCCATGCAGATCTCCTCTAGAGCAGTGATGTTTTGGGGCTGTCGCTGGGTAACACAGACTTTCAACTCCCTCCAAAGATTTTCTATGGGTTGAGATCTGGAGACTGGCTAGGCCACTCCAGGACCTTGAAATGCTTCTTACGAAGCCACTCCTTCGTTGTCCGGGCGGTGTGTTTGGGATCATTGTCATGCTGAAAGACCCAGCCACGTTTCATCTTCAATGCCCTTGCTGATGGAAGGAGGTTTTCACTCAAAATCTCACGATACATGGCCCCATTCATTCTTTCCTTTACACGGATCAGTCGTCCTGGTCCCTTTGCAGAAAAACAGCCCCAAAGCATGATGTTTCCACCCCCATGCTTCACAGTAGGTATGGTGTTCTTTGGATGCAACTCAGCATTCTTTGTCCTCCAAACACGACGAGTTGAGTTTTTACCAAAAAGTTCTATTTTGGTTTCATCTGACCATATGACATTCTCCCAATCCTCTTCTGGATCATCCAAATGCACTCTAGCAAACTTCAGACGGGCCTGGACATGTACTGGCTTAAGCAGGGGGACACGTCTGGCACTGCAGGATTTGAGTCCCTGGCAGCGTAGTGTTACTGATGGTAGGCTTTGTTACTTTGGTCCCAGCTCTCTGCAGGTCATTCACTAGGTCCCCCCGTGTGGTTCTGGGATTTTTGCTCACCGTTCTTGTGATCATTTTGACCCCACGGGGTGAGATCTTGCGTGGAGCCCCAGATCGAGGGAGATTATCAGTGGTCTTGTACGTCTTCCATTTCCTAATAATTGCTCCCACAGTTGATTTATTCAAACCAAGCTGCTTACCTATTGCAGATTCAGTCTTCCCAGCCTGGTGCAGGTCTACAATTTTGTTTCTGGTGTCCTTTGACAGCTCTTTGGTCTTGGCCATAGTGGAGTTTGGAGTGTGACTGTTTGAGGTTGTGGACAGGTGTCTTTTATACTGATAACAAGTTCAAACAGGTGCCATTAATACAGGTAACGAGTGGAGGACAGAGGAGCCTCTTAAAGAAGAAGTTACAGGTCTGTGAGAGCCAGATAATCTTGCTTGTTTGTAGGTGACCAAATACTTATTTTCCACCATAATTTGCAAATAAATTCATAAAAAATCCTACAATGTGATTTTCTGGATATTTTTTTTATCAATCTGTCTGTCATAGTTGACGTGTACCTATGATGAAAATTACAGGCCTCTCTCATCTTTTTAAGTGGGAGAACTTGCACAATTGGTGGCTGACTAAATACTTTTTTCCCCCACTGTATCGGATCATCAAGAACTTCAAGGAGAGAGGTTCAATTGTTGTGAAGAAGGCTTCAGGGTGCCCAAGAAAGTCCAGCAAGCACCAGGACCGTCTCCTAAAGTTGATTCAGCTGCGGGATCGGGGCACCCCCAGTGCAGAGCTTGCTCAGGAATGGCAGCAGGCAGGTGTGAGTGCATCTGCACGCACAGTGAGGCAAAGACTTTTGGAGGATGGCCTGGTGTCAAGAAGGGCAGCGAGGAAGCCACTTCTCTCCAGGAAAAACATCAGGGACAGACTGATATTCTGCAAAAGGTACAGGGATTGGACTGCTGAGGACTGGGGTAAAGTCATTTTCTCTGATGAATCCCCTTTCCGATTGTTTGGGGCATCCGGAAAAAAGCTTGTCCGGAGAAGACAAGGTGAGCGCTACCATCAGTCCTGTGTCATGCCAACAGTAAAGCATCCTGAGACCATTCATGTGTGGGGTTGCTTCTCAGCCAAGGGAGTGGGCTCACTCACAATTTAGCCTAAGAACACAGCCATGAATAAAGAATGGTACCAACACATCCTCCGAGAACAACTTCTCCCAACCATCTAAGAACAGTTTGGTGACGAACAATGCCTTTTCCAGCATGATGGAGCACCTTGCCATAAGGCAAAAGTGATAACTAAGTGGCTCGGGGAACAAAGCATCAACATTTTGGGTCCATGGTCAGGAAACTCCCCAGACCTTAATCCCACTGAGAACTTGTGGTCGATCCTCAAGAGGAGGGTGGACAAACAAAAACCCACAAATTCTGACAAACTCCAAGCATTGATTATGCAAGAATGGGCTGCCATCAGTCAGGATGTGGCCCAGAAGTTAATTGACAGCATGCCAGGGCGGATTGCAGAGGTCTTGAAAAAGAAGGGTCAACACTGCAAATATTGACTCTTTGCATAAACGTAATGTTATTGTCAATAAAAGCCTTTGACACTTATGGAATGCTTGTAATTATACTTCAGTATACCATAGTAACATCTGACAAAAATAACTAAAAACACTGAAGCAGCAAACTTTGTGAAGACCAATACTTGTGTCATTCTCAAAACTTTTGACCACGACTGTTTATACTATATTGTGTTCTATAATATTCTACTGTATCTTAGTCCATGCCACTCTGTCATTGCTTGTCCATATATGTATATATTCTTAAATTCCATTCCTTACTATATTTGTGTGTATTGGGTATATGTTGTGAAATTGTTAGATATTACTGCACTGTCGGAGCTAGAAGCACAAGCATTTCGCTACACCCGCTATAACATCTGCTAAACGTGGTCCTCTGTAGCTCAGCTGGTAGAGCACGGCGCTTGTAACGCCAAGGTAGTGGGTTCGATCCCCGGGACCACCCATACACAAAAATGTATGCACGCATGACTGTAAGTCGCTTTGGATAAAAGCGTCTGCTAAATGGCATATTAAAATATTAAAAATATTTTTAAAAAATATTAAAATAAACACGTGTATGTGACCAATACATTTGATTTGATTTGAAAATATGAATAAGACTGGTGACATCATCAGTTAGTCTTTGGACCAGAAAAGGCGCCTAGCATGAAAGGATTAAAGAAAGGAAACATTGGTGTTGCTACAGGCTACATTCCTTAGCATTATAGCTATACGTCATCTCTCTGTTCACACAACATACCCCAAATGGCACCCTATTCCCTATATAGTGCACTACTTTAGACCAGAGAATGGCACCCTATTCCCTATATAGTGCACTACTTTAGACCAGAGAATGGCACCCTATTCCCTATATAGTGCACTACTTTAGACCAGAGAATGGCACCCTATTCCCTATATAGTGCACTACTTTAGACCAGAGAATGGCACCCTATTCCCTATATAGTGCACTACTTTAGACCAGAGAATGGCACCCTATTCCCTATATAGTGCACTACTTTAGACCAGAGAATGGCACCCTATTCCCTATATAGTGCACTACTTTAGACCAAGGCCCAAAGGGAGCCATTTGTGAATCACCCACCCTTTCCTTTCACTGAGGGACAATAACAGCTAGTTAATAGGTGATGTATTAGTCCAGGGATATGAACAGCAGGTATTTGTATTGGCCTTATGTAGGAATTAAACTGTTGACAGTTCAAAAGTTAAATGATTACATCATTGACTTGAAGGTCATAGCTAATGTGTTTCTGTGATGGTGGCTTTTTATAAGGCATTCAACAACAATATGGAGGCAACTCAAACAAATACTGTGTGGGAAACACACACACACACACACACACACACAGAGACACAGACACAGACACAGACGCGCACACGCACACGCACACGCACACGCACGCACGCACGCACGCACGCACGCACGCACGCACGCACACACGCAACACACGACACAGACACAGACACAGACACAGACACAGACACAGACACGCACACACGCACACACGCACACACGCACACACACACACACACACACACACACACACACACACACACACACACACACACACACACACACACACACACACACACGCACGTAGTTAAAGATAGAGACCGTGCCCACCTTGCCACCCAGGCTGGCATCGACATGTCTTTGTGTCCTGAGAGCAGTGTCCCCCGTCAGGCCATCCACAGTCTGACAGGCAGTATGGGATATCACAGGCCTCGCCCTTCCAGTTGGCATCACAGTCACAATACACAGCACCTGTTGAGTTCCCAACGCGACACTCCCCTCGGCCAGAACAGCTGTTAGGACACGTGTTCACCCTGGGGGAGGGGAGGCAGAGAGGTGAAAGGGGGAGGGGGGGAAGAGGGGAGGCAGAGAGAGAGAGAGAGAGAAAAAGACAGGGGTAGGAAAGAGAACGACGGATGGATGAGGTTAGAAGATATTTAAAAATACTGATTGTTTCAAGTTTAATTCTGTATGCTAATGAGGAGGAGGAGACAAAGGGTTTCATAATATAAAACTCTACAACATCAAATCCTGTCCAATGTAGAATTACAGCTTTTAAACTAGAGCAAACTCCTGAGAACATAATATTCTGGAGCAAGACGGTCGACAAAGACGTTGTGGTTCTGTTTCATGTTGTTCAGGCAGCAGGCGTACGGTTTGATGTCTGGGCTCTTTGAGATAAGAGACTGGGGCCCGAGGCGCTTTCTTTTATCCGTTTCTCAGCCCAACTTCAATCACATCATCATGGAGACGGGACCAGTCCCCAGCTGAACTCTGGGTAGTTTGTGTCGTGCCCTTCACAGAGGTCAGGGTCAGTGTTAACCAGCCTGGTTAACTAACTCATCTAACTAACTAACTAACTCACCTAACTAACAAACTAACTCATCTAACTAACTAACTAACTAACTAATCTAACTAACTCATCTAACTAACTCATCTAACTCACTCACTCACTCATCTAACTAACTAACTAGTAACTAACTAGCTACTGACTCACCTGTTACTAAGAAGAGGCCCTGAGAGGCCAGACTCACCTGTTACTAAGAGGCCCTGAGAGGCCAGACTCACCTGGTACTAAGAAGAGGCCCTGAGAGGCCAGACTCACCTGTTACTAAGAGGCCCTGAGAGGCCAGACTCACCTGGTACTAAGAAGAGGCCCTGAGAGGCCAGACTCACCTGGTACTAAGAAGAGGCCCTGAGAGGCCAGACTCACCTGTTACTAAGAGGCCCTGAGAGGCCAGACTCACCTGGTACTAAGAAGAGGCCCTGAGAGGCCAGACTCACCTGGTACTAAGAAGAGGCCCTGAGAGGCCAGACTCACCTGTTACTAAGAAGAGGCCCTGAGAGGCCAGACTCACCTGGTACTAAGAAGAGGCCCTGAGAGGCCAGACTCACCTGTTACTAAGAAGAGGCCCTGTGAGGCCAGACTCACCTGTTACTAAGAAGAGGCCCTGCGAGGCCAGACTCACCTGTTACTAAGAGGCCCTGAGAGGCCAGACTCACCTGGTACTAAGAAGAGGCCCTGAGAGGCCAGACTCACCTGTTACTAAGAAGAGGCCCTGCGAGGCCAGACTCACCTGTTACTAAGAAGAGGCCCTGAGAGGCCAGACTCACCTGTTACTAAGAAGAGGCCCTGAGAGGCCAGACTCACCTGTTACTAAGAAGAGGCCCTGTGAGGCCAGACTCACCTGTTACTAAGAAGAGGCCCTGAGAGGCCAGACTCACCTGTTACTAAGAGGCCCTGAGAGGCCAGACTCACCTGGTACTAAGAAGAGGGCCCTGAGAGGCCAGACTCACCTGTTACTAAGAGAGGCCCTGCGAGGCCAGACTCACCTGTTACTAAGAAGAGGCCCTGAGAGGCCAGACTCACCTGTTACTAAGAAGAGGCCCTGAGAGGCCAGACCCCACCTGTTACTAAGAAGAGGCCCTGTGAGGCCAGACTCACTGTTACTAATGAAGAGGCCCTGCTAGGCCAGGACTCACCTGTTACGAAGAGGCCCTGAGAGGCCATACTCACCTGGTACGAGAAGAGGCCCTGAGGCCAGACTCACCTGGTACTAAGACGAGGCCCTGAGAGGCCAGACCCATCACCTTTACTAAGAGGCCTGAGAGGCCAGACTCACCTGGTACAATAGGCCCTGAAGGCCCAGCCTACCTGTACAAGAAGAGGCCGCTGAAGGCCAGACTCCCCTGTTTACTAAGAGGCCCTGAGAGGCCAGACTCACCTGTTACTAAGAGAGCCCTGGAGGCCAGACTCACCTCGTACTAAGAAGAGGCCCTGAGAGGCCAGACTCACCTGGTACTAAGAAGAGGCCCTGAGAGGCCAGTCACTGTTCTAAGAGAGCATGAAGCCAACTCACCTGGTACTAAAAGAGGCCCTGAGAGGCCAGACTCACCTGTTACTAAGAGAGGCCCTGCGAGGCCAGACTCACCTGTACTAAGTAGGCCTGAGAGGCACAGATCCTGTATATAGAAGGCCTGAAGGCCAGAATCCCTGTTATAAGGAGGCCTGGAGGCCAGACTCACTGTTACTAAGGCCTGAGAGGCCAGACTCACTGAGTACTAAGAAGAGGCCTGAGAGGCCAGACTCACCTGGTACTAGAGGCCCTGAGAGCCAGACTCACCTGTTACTAAGAAGGCCTGAGAGGCCAGACTACCTGTTACTAAGGAGGCCCTGAAGGCCAGACTCACCTGGTACTAGAGAGCCTGAGAGCCAGACTCACCTGTTACTAAGGAGAGGCCCTGAAGGCCAGATCACCTTTACTAAGAAGAGGCCCTTGAGGCCGCTCACCGTTACTAAGAAGAGGCCCTGGAGGCCAACTCACCTGTTACTAAGAAGAGGCCCTGTGAGGCCAGACTCACCTCTTACTAAGAAGGCCCTGAAAGGCCAGACTCACCTGTTATAAGAGAGGCCCTGAGAGGCCAGATCACCTGGTACTAAGGAGATGCCTGAGAGGCCAGACTCACCTGTTACTAAGAGAGGCACTGAGAGGCCAGGACTCACCGTTACTAAGAAGAGGCCCTGAGAGCCAGACTCACCTGGTTATAAGAGGCCTGAAGGCCAGATCACCGGTATAAGAAGGGCCCTGAAGGCAGATGATGAGATATTGAACACAGTTAGGTTATAAGGTTAGGGGTAGAGGTAGGGAAGGGTACCTGTATGAGATGTTGAACACAGGTTATAGGGTCAGGGGTTAAGGGTAACCTGTATGAGATGTTGAAAGCCAGTCAGGTTATAAGTTAGGGGATAGAGGTCCAGGGGTTAAGGGTTACCTGTATGAGATGTTGAAGCCAGTCAGGTTATAAGGTCAGGGGATAGAGGTCAGGGGTTAAGGGTTACCTATATGAGATGTTGAAGCGGTCAGGTTATAAGGTCAGGGTAAAGGGTTACCTATATGAGATGTTGAAGCCGGTCAGGTATAAGGTCAGGGGATAGAGGTAAGGGTTAAGGGTTACCTATAGGAGATGTTGAGCCGGTCAGGTTATAAGGTCAGGTTATAAGGTCAGGGGTTTAAGGGTTACCTATATGAGATGTTGAAGCCAGTCAGGTTATAAGGTCAGGGGATAGAGGTCAAGGGGTTTAAGGGTTTAACCTATAGGAGATGTTGAAGCCGGTCAGGTTGATAGGTTCAGGGGTTAAGGGTTACCTATATTGAGATGTTGAAAGCCAGCAGGTTTATAACGGTCATGGGGATAGAGGTCAGGGGTTTACCTATATGAGATGTTGAAGCCGGTCAGGTTATAAGGTCAGGGTTAAGGTTACCCATACTGAGATGTTGAGCCGGTCAGGTTAAAGGCAGGTTAAGGGTACCTATATGCAGATGTTGAAGCCATCAGGTTAATAGGTCAGGGGATAGAGTCAGGGGTTAAGGGTTACCTATATGAATGTTGAAGCCGTTAGGTTATAAGGTCAGGGGATAGAGTCAGGTAAGGGTTACTATATAGATGTGAAGCCGTCAGTTATAAGGTCAGGGATAGTCGGGGTTAAGGTTACATATATAGAGTGAAGCCAGTCAGGTTATAAGGTCAGGGATAGAGGTCAGGGGTTAAGGTTACCTATATAGATGTTAAGCCGGTCAGGTTATAGGTCAGGGGTTAAGGTTACTCTATATGAGTGTTGAATTCCCGTCAGTGCTATAAGGTCAGGGGTTAAGGGTTACCTATATGAGATGTTGAGCGGTCGTTATAAGGTCAGGGTTAAGGGTTACCTGATGAGATGTTGAAGCCGTCGGTTATAAGGTCAGGGGTTCGTCTAGGGTACCTATATGAGAGTTGAACGGCAGGTTAGAAGGTCAGGGTAGGGTCACCCTATGAGATGTTGAAGCGTCAGGTTATAAGTCAGGGTAGGGACTAATGAATGTTGAAGCCAGTCAGTTATAGTCAGGTTATAGGTCCGGGTTAGGGTACCTATATGAGATGTTGAGCCGTCAGGTTATAAGGTCAGGGGATAGAGGTCAGGGTTAAGGGTTACCTATATGAGATGTTGAAGCCAGTCAGGTTATAAGGTCAGGGTTAGGGTTACCTATATGAGATGTGAAGCCGGTCAGGTTATAAGCAGCGTCGCTGAAGAAGTGGAGGAGGGCGTACCGGACTGTGACACCACCGCGGACCGTCTCGTTGCCATAGCGCTCAGGAACTATCAACCCACTGCAACAAGGACGGACAACACCCATCAACACCCTGCATAATTCATCATTACCCAGGTAAATATGTCATCTCCTGTAGCAACATCATGCAGGTTAATAAATGTTCAATTAAAAACAAGTTGAAAAAGTTGACAAAACATTACAGTATATGTAACGTACTTTGAAGACCGCACTGAGGAGCGGATATCTATGATCACGACCCCTGCAGGCCTCTGATAGTCAATTCTTAGGTATCATCTCCTGGCTTACCCCAGAATAACAGGTCATTACTGAGTACTCTCCCTCCCCTGCACATCTCTCACACGTCAGTGCAATATTGAATACAGAGTTTAAGGAGACCCTCCTCTGCTCTGGGGCGTTATCAGATCAGACACCTGCCTCCTGTGATATACCTGGGCACCCTACTCTGCTCTGGGGCGTTATCTGATCAGACATCTGGGCACCCTCCTCTGCTCTGGGGCGTTATCTGATCAGACATCTGGGCACCCTCCTCTGCTCTGGGGCGTTATCTGATCAGACATCTGCTGATTTCATCCTTCCACTTCACATTGTGTCTTGAATAAGTCCACTTGGTTCAGCCTACTTGGATGACCTTTTGACTCTCCCGCAGCCCGGTGCTGCGCTTGCCTCCCTCCTTGCTTTCCACCGGCCTGTACTGGGAAACTACATGGGACCCACCATTTAATCGCTTTGAGTAAGTCACCGCTCTCTCCTTGCTGTTGTCATGGTGGCCATGTTTTGTGCCTTGGTTGTGTTTTATTGTGGGTCCTAGTGCTGGCTGGATTCTAGTCTGTGGTTGGGTTCTGGCTTGCTGCATAGACCTGTGGGAATTCTACAAACTGTGTGATTCAACCTAACTAACTATCACACTGTGTGGATTGATTGCCTTTTAGCTGATTCCTACCTATTTTATTTGTGTGGCTTTTAAATGACTTTTCCCAAAATGGCATCTACCACTTACCGCCATACGGGGAAACCAACTTTTTCCAGATTGGCGGCTGCCACCTTCAGAGACTACGGGTAGGAACTGCACCTACAGTGCATTCAGAAACTATTCAAACAAAGACATTATTTTATTTTTTATTTTATTATTATTGCAAATGTATTTTTGAAAAAAACAACTGTAAAACCTTATTTACATAAGTATTCAGACCCTTTGCTATGAGACTCAAATTTGAGCTCAGGTGCATCCTGTTTCCATTGAACATCCTTGAGGATGTTTCTACAACTTGATTGGAGTCCATCTGTGGTAAATTCAATTGATTGGACATGATTTGGAAAGGCACACACCTGTCTACATAAGGTTCCACAGTTGACAGTGCATGTCAGAGCAAAAACCAAGCCATGAGGTCGAAGGAATTGTCCGTAGAGCTCCGAGACAGGATTGTGTTGAGGCACAGATCTAGGGAAGGGTACCAAAAAATGGCGGCAGCATTGAAGGTCTCCAAGAACACAGTGGCCTCCATCATTCTTAAATGGAAGAAGTTTGGAACCACCAAGACTTCCTAGAGCTGGCCGCTCGGCCAAACTGAGTAATCGGGGGAGAAGGGCCTTGGTCAGGGAGGTGACCAAGATCCCGATGGTCACTTTGACAGAGCTCCAGAGTTCCTCTGTGGAGATGGGAGAACCTTCCAGAAGGACAACCATCTCTGCAGCACTCCACCAAATCAGGCCTTTATGGTAGAGTGACCAGACGGACACCACTCCTCAGTAAAAGGCACATGACAGCCCGCTTGGAGTTTGCCAAAAGGCACCTAAAGGACTCTCAGACAATGAGAAACAAGATTCTCTGGTCTGATGAAACCAAGATTGAACTCTTTGGCCTGAATGCCAAGTGTCACATCTGGAGGAAACCAGGCACCACTCATCACCTGGCCAATAACATCCCTACTGTGAAGCATGGTGGTGGCAGCATCATGCTGTGGGGATGTTTTTCAGCGGCAGGGACTGGGAGACTTGTCAGGATCGAGGGAAAGATGAACGGAGCAAAGTACAGAGAGATCCTTGATGAAAACCTGCTCCAGAGCGCTCAGGACCTCAGACTGGGACAAGGTTCACCTTCCAACAGGACAACGACCCTAAGCACACAGCCAAGACAACACAGGAGTGGCTTCGGGACAAGTCTCTGAATGTCCTTGAGTGGCCCAGCCAGAGCCCGAACCCAATCGAACATCTCTGGAGAGACCTGAAAATAGCTGTGCAGCGACGCTCCCCATCCAACCTGACAGAGCTTGAGAGGATCTGCAGAGAAGAATGGGAGAAACTCCCCAAATACAGGTGTGCCAAGCTTGTAGCGTCATACCCAAGAAGACTCAAGGCTGTAATCACTGCCAAAGGTGCTTGAACAAAGTACTGAGTAAAGGGTCTGAATACTTATGTAAATGGAATATTTCATTTATTTTATTTTATATAAATTCGCAAAAAATTATAAAAACCTGTTTTCGCTTTGTCATTATGGGGTATTGATGAGGATACAAAACAATTTAATCAATTTTACAATAAGGCTGTAACGTAACAAAATGTGGAAAAAGTAAAGGGGTCTGAATACTTTCCGAATGCACTGTATTTTGCACAGTTCCAGGACAATATTGACAGGACAAATGTCCAATGTGGAAACGGTCAGCTTATTGAGGAACGTACAGTATGTCTGAGCTGGACATCCACAGTAAGCAAATTGAGACATTGGAGCATATCTTGGATAGGTCCCACTCTAAGACCTTTCCCTTTTCCACTCCTCAGCTTCGCCATCGTGTCGCCGCTCTCTGACTGCCTGGACAGGGCTGCCCTGCAGAGACGCCTCCCCTCCCCTCCTACCCAACCCCCTTTTGGTGAATGGGGCTGAAATGGCTTTGGGGGATCCCGTACTGCTGACCAACAGTCTTGGCTTCCTGCTTCCAGAGATTACTGCTCCTTCATCCTCTACCATGAGGATCCAGCTCAGGGGGTTTCTACCAGGCCTGTACCCGCCGGGATCCCTCTCACACCGCCGGGATCCCTCTCACACCGCCGGGATCCCTCTCACACCGCCGGGATCCCTCTCACACCGCCGGGATCCCTCTCACATCAGGATATCTGGGGCTCCAGCCCCCCGAGCTGGATCCCTTCTGGACTCTGATATTAGTATTGAGGGTTATAATGTGTTCAGAACTGACAGGGTAGATGTGGAGGAGTGGCCATTCTTATAAAATATTATTTCTCTGTCTTTTTAATGAAATCCATTCTAATTATTTTTTTTGCTACCATCTTTAAGCTGTTTGGGGAAAAATGGATCCATAACTGTCCTCCCTCGGCTAACCTTTGTGCACTCGAGGAGTTAAGTAGTTTGTTGTTTTCTTATTTTAAATCAGAAGTTATTATCATGGGTGACCTAAATTCTGATTGGGAAATGCAGCCTTCAGACAATCTAAAAGACAAGTGTACTGATCTAAACCTAACCCAGCTGGTGACTAATCCTACACGGCCCAACACTAGAGATCCTTTAAAGTCCTCTCTGATTGACCTTATTTTAACGAATACACCAGAGAAATATGTTTCTACTGGTGTCTTCGCCTAAGATCATTGCCCAGTTGGTTGTGTTAGAGATGTGAGAATACAAAAGCTTTTGATACTGTTGATTATTTTATTGAATAAGTTGTCCTCGATAGGCCTGAGCTCTGACGCCTGTTCATGGTTTCATGATTATCTTAGTGACAGCCATTGTGATTGATGGGATAAAGTCTGAATTTCCTGAAGTACATAAAGGTGTTCTGCAGTGGAGCATCGACAATATCCCAGGTGAGTGACTGCACGTATTCACTATTTATCATTGTTTGGTCGGTGCTACTTAAACATCATATCATATTAGTGTCTCCTCTTCTCATAGGTCTATTATATGGACAACATCATATTAGTGTCTCCTCTTCTCATAGGTCTATTATATGGACAACATCATATTAGTGTCTCCTCTTCTCATAGGTCTATTATATGGACAACATCATATTAGTGTCTCCTCTTCTCATAGGTCTATTATTTTACATTTTTAGTCATTTAGCAGACGCTCTTATCCAGAGCGACTTACAGTTAAGTGAGTGCATACTTTTTTTTGTGTCATACTGGCCCCCCGTGGGAATCGAACCCACAACCCTGGCGTTGCAAATGCCATGCTCTACCTACTGAGCCCTGCTCTACCAACTGAGCCCTGCTCTACCAACTGGGCCATGCTCTACCAACTGAGCCCTGCTCTACCAACTGAGCCCTGCTCTACCAACTGAGCCCTGCTCTACCAACTGAGCCCTGCTCTACCAACTGAGCCCTGCTCTACCAACTGGGCCCTGCTCTACCAACTGGGCCCTGCTCTACCAACTGGGCCCTGCTCTACCAACTGGGCCCTGCTCTACCAACTGAGCCCTGCTCTACCAACTGAGCCCTGCTCTACCAACTGGGCCCTGCTCTACCAACTGAGCCCTGCTCTACCAACTGGGCCCTGCTCTACCAACTGAACCCTGCTCTACCAACTGGGCCCTGCTCTACCAACTGAACCCTGCTCTACCAACTGGGCCCTGCTCTACCAACTGAGCCCTGCTCTACCAACTGAGCCCTGCTCTACCAACTGAGCCCTGCTCTACCAACTGAGCTACACGGGACAACATCATATTATATTAGTGTCTCTTCTCATAGGTCTATTATATGGACACCATATTAGCTCACCACCCCCCCCCCCCCCCACCACCCCCCCTACACAGCTCACCACCCCCACCCCCCCTACACAGCTCACCACCCCCCCCACACAGCTCACCACCACCACCCCCCCTACACAGCTCATCACCACCCCCGTCCTCCCTGTACCCATCACCACCCCCGTCCTCCCTGTACCCCACCACCACCCCCGTCCTCCCGTACCCCATCACCACCCCCGTCCTCCCTGTACCCATCACCACCCCCGTCCTCCCTGTACCCATCACCACCCCCGTCCTCCCTGTACCCATCACCACCCCCGTCCTCCCTGTACCCACCTGAAGGCAGCCAGTAGAGGGGTGTAGATAGAGTCCCCATCGTAGACATACAGGTGGTCCCAGCTGCACTCCGTAGCAAAGTGGTCCAACCTCAGTCTGAGGATGCTGTCGGGCCTGCAGGACCGAGACAGAACACAGTTAGGATGCTGTCGGGCCTGCAGGACCGAGACAGAACACAGTTAGGATGCTGTCGGGCCTGCAGGACCGAGACAGAACAGTTAGGATGCTGTTGGGCCTGCAGGACCGAGACAGAACAGTTAGGATGCTGTCGGGCCTGCAGGACCGAGACAGAACACAGTTAGGATGCTGTCGGGCCTGCAGGACCGAGACAGAACAGTTAGGATGCTGTTGGGCCTGCAGGACCGAGACAGAACACAGTTAGGATGCTGTCGGGCCTGCAGGACCGAGACAGAACAGTTAGGATGCTGTTGGGCCTGCAGGACCGAGACAGAACAGTTAGGATGCTGTCGGGCCTGCAGGACCGAGACAGAACAGTTAGGATGCTGTTGGGCCTGCAGGACCGAGACAGAACAGTTAGGATGCTGTCGGGCCTGCAGGACCGAGACAGAACACAGTTAGGATGCTGTCGGGCCTGCAGGACCGAGACAGAACAGTTAGGATGCTGTTGGGCCTGCAGGACCGAGACAGAACACAGTTAGGATGCTGTTGGGCCTGCAGGACCGAGACAGAACAGTTAGGATGCTGTCGGGCCTGCAGGACCGAGACAGAACAGTTAGGATGCTGTCGGGCCTGCAGGACCGAGACAGAACACAGTTAGGATGCTGTCGGGCCTGCAGGACCGAGACAGAACACAGTTAGGATGCTGTCGGGCCTGCAGGACCGAGACAGAACACAGTTAGGATGCTGTCGGGCCTGCAGGACCGAGACAGAACACAGTTAGGATGCTGTCGGGCCTGCAGGACCGAGACAGAACAGTTAGGATGCTGTTGGGCCTGCAGGACCGAGACAGAACACAGTTAGGATGCTGTTGGAAAAAACGATTAGCCTAGAGTTCAACTAAACATGGACAAACTCTGGTCTGGGGGCAGCTAGATAAACCTGGACATGGTTGAACAGTGTCTGGCTAAATAAACCTGGACATGGTTGAACCGTGTCTGGTTAGATAAACCTGGACATGGTTGAACAGTGTCTGGTTAGATAAACCTATGGACATGGTTGAACAGTGTCTGGCTAAATAAACCTGGACATGGTTGAACAGTGTCTGGTTAGATAAACCTGGACATGGTTGAACAGTGTCTGGCTAAATAAACCTGGACATGGTTGAACAGTGTCTGGTTAGATAAACCTATGGACATGGTTGAACCGTGTCTGGTTAGATAAACCTGGACATGGTTGAACAGTGTCTGGTTAGATAAACCTGGACATGGTTGAACCGTGTCTGGTTAGATAAACCTATGGACATGGTTGAACCGTGTCTGGTTAGATAAACCTATGGACATGGTTGAACAGTGTCTGGTTAGATAAACCTATGGACATGGTTGAACAGTGTCTGGCTAAATAAACCTGGACATGGTTGAACCGTGTCTGGTTAGATAAACCTGGAAATGGTTGAACCGTGTCTGGTTAGATAAACCTGGACATGGTTGAACCGTGTCTGGTTAGATAAACCTATGGACATGGTTGAACAGTGTCTGGCTAAATAAACCTGGACATGGTTGAACCGTGTCTGGTTAGATAAACCTGGACATGGTTGAACCGTGTCTGGTTAGATAAACCTGGACATGGTTGAACCGTGTCTGGCTAGATAAACCTGGACATGGTTGAACCGTGTCTGGTTAGATAAACCTGGACATGGTTGAACAGTGTCTGGCTAGATAAACCTAGTGTTGTAGTATACAAGTCCGGTCTCGAGACGACATATTGAGTGTCTCGGTCTTGTCTCGGTGTCAGACCAGCGGAGTAAAAATCTCATCATTATCAGCTTCCATTCAGTCAGCGCATAAAACCGCTTTGCCAGGCCAAATATTCAGTCAGCGCATAAAACCGCTTTGCCAGGCCAAATATTCAGTCAGCGCATAAAACCGCTTTGCCAGGCCAAATATTCAGTCAGCGCATAAAACCGCTTTGCCAGGCCAAATATTCAGTCAGCGCATAAAACCGCTTTGCCAGGCCAAATATTCGGTCAGCGCATAAAACCGCTTTGCCAGGCCAAATATTCAGTCAGCGCATAAAACCGCTTTGCCAGGCCAAATATTCAGTCAGCGCATAAAACCGCTTTGCCAGGCCAAATATTCAGTCAGCGCATAAAACCGCTTTGCCAGGCCAAATATTCGGTCAGCGCATAAAACCGCTTTGCCAGGCTGATGGAAAGACTACACCACTGGATAGGGCTGATGGAAAGACTACACCACTGGATAGGGCTGATGGAAAGACTACACCACTGGATAGGGCTGATGGAAAGACAGCAGCCACACAGCATGATGTTAAAGGATAAGCAGTCACACAGCATGATGTTAAAGGATAAGCAGTCACACAGCATGATGTTAAAGGATGAGCAGTCACACAGCATGATGTTAAAGGCCTTTGAGCAGTCACACAGCATGATGTTAAAGGATAAGCAGTCACACAGCATTGATGTTAAAGGAAGGTTACACAGCATGAGGTTAAAGGATAAGCGGTCACCACAGCTGATGTTTAAAGGAATAAGCAGTCACACCAGCATGCTGTTTTTAAGGAATAAGCAGGTTCCCACACAGCATGATGTTAAAGGATAGCCAGTCAGGCACACAGCATGATGTTAACGGATAAGCAGTCACACACAGCATGACGTTAAAGGATAACACAGGTCCACAAGCATGTGCTTAAGGATTTTTAAGCAGGTCAACCACAGAATGATTGTTAAAGGATAAGCAGTCACACAGCATGATGGTAAAGGATAAGCAGTCACACAGCATGATGTTAAGGATAAGCAAGTCACACAGCATGATGTTAAAGGAAAAGCAGTCACACAGCATGATGTTAAAGGATAAGCAGTCACACAGCATGATGTTAAAGGATAAGCAGTCACACAGCAGGATGTTAAAGGATAAGCAGTCACACAGCATGATGTTAAAGGATAAGCAGTCACACAGCATGATGTTAAAGGATAAGCAGTCACACAGCATGATGTTAAAGGATAAGCAGTCACACAGCATGATGTTAAAGGATAAGCAGTCACACAGCATGATATTAAAGGATAAGCAGTCACACAGCATGATGTTAAAGGATAAGCAGTCACACAGCATGATGTTAAAGGATAAGCAGTCACACAGCATGATGTTAAAGGATAAGCAGTCACACAGCATGATGTTAAAGGATAAGCAGTCACACAGTATGATGTTAAAGGATAAGCAGTCACACAGCATGATGTTAAAGGATAAGCAGTCCATCAACTCTGACATAATAAGCCAGTAGGTCCCAATCATAAGAATACAAAAACACAACCATTAAGCATTTCCCAATCGAAATGTACAACTATTACTTCCCATTGCAACAAACATTTAACGTTTAGCACACAAAGAAACCAGTGACCTAAAGTTTAAAGTGGAACTGACAGCGTTTTAACTACTTTGCAGATATGAAACAAACAGACAATCATAATATCAGTGAAAAATATAAAATTCCCAGTTTATGCTACAAAACCAACTTTATAAGATGTTTTAAAAATAGGTTCTATTTGACTCAACGTTCCATGACGTACACTAAGGCATTGTTGGCAGAATAGATGGATGCAGTTCAATACATGATTAATATAATTCACCAATACATTTCTTGGTAGTCCCAAAAATATTGCTATCAGGTTGTAAATCACAGCTGGCCTGGTACATTGTTTCCTGCCTTCATTCAGGATGCACTGTTTCAGTTTCAATGACTCAATATTCTGGACAAAAACTGAAGAATGTAACTAAGGCTGGGAATGTCAATACAATCAAACTAGCAAGGGCAATGATCACAGGTCAGTCATAACGTGGCTAACAGGCTAGCCTGTCTATTTATGTAGCAAGCTAAAAATACGGAGCCTAACGTTAGCTAGATAGCTAGCTAGCTATCTGCTAGGAGGATGTCATGTCATGCCATTGGAGGAGTGGGTGAGTGACTGACTTTTCCCTCATATCGTTTTACGGTGGCTATACACCGCTAGAGATGCAGGTGTCATTTGGTTAGCTAGCAAGAACTTGAACAACTGTTATCCAGTTAGTTAGCATATCTCTTGGGTTCACAAATTCACTCTGGCTATTACTCCGATTTCAGAGCACTCTCGTCTGAGTGTGCCAGAGCGCAGAACAACTGATGAATTTACGAACATACAACACCCACTGAATATGGCCGGTGTCAGTAAACGTAGGCAAAAAAAGGTAATAGTTAGTCAAGAACGCTCTAAATAACATGAAAACAGCCTAACCAGCTCTGCTAGGGTGAGTAAAATGGTCAGAGTGAGGTGTTCTCTCATTTGTGTCTGGAAGTAGCTAGCTAGCAAGCTAGTCAACTTCAGCCAGTTAGCTTGGGTGCTTGGTTGGGACAAGCATGCATTGGCATGCAAGCTGCAGAAGGACGAGCAGGCTACAATTCCCCATCGTTTATCAGTGCAATTTTGACGGCCAACTAGCTGAAAAAGTTTGAGAGGGTTTATCTAATGTTCCTTCATTAGATTTTAGCTCCTCTTGCTCTGGCTAGCATTAGTTGTATATCTTGTTGTTGTTGATGTGCATCACTGAGGGAGAGAGAGCCTACCTTTTCATGGTTGTTTGATCAATAGGACTGTGAAGTTCCCAAATGTAAGAGGACTCCCGTGGTATTTCCATATTTGCAGAAATCCATTCAGGTGTATTTTGTGGCTTTTGGCGAAAGCGTTTTAATGATCTAAAGTCGCTCTGTTGCTACTGCCTGTAAACACACAGTCCAGTTCAAAGTGAATGATGGCAGGCCTGTGTGGCAAATGGCTTGTTTGTATTAAGGCCTACTATAGCTCTGATTGGCTATAGTGCACCAGTCTCTGGTCCTGGACAAGACAGATGTTTTTATTAGATTTTATTTACATTTTTACATTTTTTTACATTTTTAGTCATTTAGCAGACGCTCTTATCCAGAGCGACTTACAGTTAGTGAATACATATTTTTTTTATACTGGCCCCCCGTGGGAATCGAACCCACAACCCAATCTCTAGTGGCACAGTTAGCACTGCGATGCAGTGCCTTAGACCACTGCGCCACTGCAGTGTCCGCTTTCCCACTCTATATTGCTATAGAATTGTCACAAATGCCTTAGTATAAGTAATTCCCAAACATTCTACAAATGTATGAAAACGTGGTCTTGAATTGACTCGCATTTTTCTGGTCTCGGTCTTGACTCTGCCTCGATTTGATCCGGTCTTGGATCGGTCTCGCGTTAGGTGGTCTCGAACACAACACTGGCTAAACCTATGGACATGGTTGAACTGTCTGGGCAAATAACATCATTCAGAGGCAGAAGGGTCAAAGAGACATTTGTTCTCACAAGATAAATATTTTAAACTTTATTATCTGTATATGGTCACGGATATCTTATGTTGCCTATTAAAACCACAATCACGCCTTTTTGTCTGCTCACCAGATGCCCGGTGTTGGAGGTCACTGGGGTTGGAGGTCACTGGGGTTGGAGGTCACTGGGGTTGGAAGTCACTGGGGTTGGAGGTCAGAGGTGTTTTAAAAGATATTCCTATATGGAACCCTTTCCCTTTACATTTGCACTCTTAGACCAGAGCCTAATTCCCTGGTCTAACAGTTAGTGACATAGATAGGGTTCCATTCTTGTCTAGTAGTCCATATGGGATGGGTCCTCTCTGGTCTAAAGAGTGCGATATACGAAAGGGTCCCATCTCTGGTCTAAAGTAGTGTACTATAGGGAATAGGGTGCCATTGCCTGGTCAAAGTAGTCACTGAGGATACGGGTTTCCATTCTCTGGTAAAGTAGTGCACTATATAGGGAATAGGGTCCAATTCTCTGGTCTAAAGTATGCACTATAGAAAGGGTGCCATTCTCTGTCTAAAGTAGTGCACTATAAGGGATAGGGTGCCATTTCGTCAAAGTGTGCACTATAGGGATAGGGTGTCCATTCTTCTCTGGTCTAGTGTGCACTGATTACGGAATAGGGTTCCATTCTCTGTCAAGTTAGTGCACTGTATAGGAACAGGGTCCCATTCTTGGTCTAAAGTGGCACTATATGGGACATAGGTGCATTCTGGTCTAAGAGTGCAAATAGGGAATAGGGTCCATTCTGTCTAGTAGTGCCTAGATAGGGCAATAGGGTGCATTTTGGTCTACAAGTAGACTATATAGGGAATAGGGTTCATGTCCTGGTCTAAGTGTGCACTATTAGAATAGGGCCCAATCCCCTTGCGTCTAAAGAGTGACTTGTAGGAATAGGGTCACTTGGTCTGAAGGTGCACTATGTAGGGTATAGGGTTCCTGTGGTCTGAAAGTAGGTGCATAATGGTGAAGGGCCATCTCTGGTTAAAGTAGTCACTATTGAGGAATAGGGTGCCTTTCGGTCTAAAGTAGTGACACTATATGGAATAGTCCCATTCCTGGTATAAGTAGTGCACTGGCACTATATAGGGAATAGGGTTCCATTCTTGGTCTAAAGTAGTGCACTATATAGGGAATAGGGTCCCATTCTCTGGTCTAAAGTAGTGCACTATATAGGGAATAGGGTGCCATTCTCTGGTCTAAAGTAGTGCACTATATAGGGAATAGGGTGCCATTCTCTGGTCTAAAGTAGTGCACTATATAGGGAATAGGGTGCCATTCTCTGGTCTAAAGTAGTGCACTATATAGGGAATAGGGTGCCATTCTCTGGTCTAAAGTAGTGCACTATATAGGGAATAGGGTGCCATTCTCTGGTCTAAAGTAGTGCACTATATAGGGAATAGGGTGCCATTCTCTGGTCTAAAGTAGTTCACTATATAGGGAATAGGGTGCCATTCTCTGGTCTAAAGTAGTGCACTATATAGGGAATAGGGTGCCATTCTCTGGTCTAAAGTAGTGCACTATATAGGGAATAGGGTGCCATTCTCTGGTCTAAAGTAGTGCACTATATAGGGAATAGGGCGCTATTCTCTGGTCTAAAGTAGTGCACTATATAGGGAATAGGGCACCATTCTCTGGTCTAAAGTAGTGCACTATATAGGGAATAGGGTGCCATTCTCTGGTCTAAAGTAGTGCACTATATAGGGAATAGGGTGCCATTCTCTGGTCTAAAGTAGTGCACTATATAGGGAATAGGGTGCCATTCTCTGGTCTAAAGTAGTGCACTATATAGGGAATAGGGTGCCATTCTCTGGTCTAAAGTAGTGCACTATATAGGGAATAGGGTGCCATTCTCTGGTCTAAAGTAGTGCACTATATAGGGAATAGGGTGCCATTCTCTGGTCTAAAGTAGTGCACTATATAGGGAATAGGGTGCCATTCTCTGGTCTAAAGTAGTGCACTATATAGGGAATAGGGTGCCATTCTCTGGTCTAAAGTAGTGCACTATATAGGGAACAGGGCACCATTTGGGACCCAGACAGTGTCTTCTAGAACAGTTCTACAGCAGAACAAGCAGACGTCTACATGGATTATTAAATTATAAATGTATCACTTCGTTTTTCTCAACATGCTTGGGATTTGGATGCATTCAGAACATGAAATAGTGGGTTGAATCCAAGTCCTGATAAATGTATGCTGATAAGTGTACGTACACCAGGGATGGGCAACTTTGATGGGGGTACGGCTGGGCGATACGGCCAAAATACAGTGCATTCGGAAAGTATTCAGACCCCTTGACTTTTTTCACTTTTTGTTACATTACAGCCTTATCTTAAAATGGATTAAATTGTTTTTTTCATCAATCCACACACACACACAATACCACATAATGACAAAGCAAAAAACTGGTTTTTAGAAATGTTTGCACATTTATTAACAATTAAAAATGTAATAATTACATTTACATAAGTATTCAGACCCTTTAAACTCAGTACTTTGTTGAAGCGCCTTTGGCAGCGATTACATTCTCAAGTCTTCTTGGGTATGACGCTAGAAACTTGGCACACCTGTATTATGGGAGTTTCTCCCATTATTCTCTGCAGATCCTCTCAAGCTCTGTCAGGTTGGATGGGGAGCGTCGCTGCACAGCTATTTTTAGGTCACTCCAGAGATGTTCGATTGGGTTCAAGTCCAGGATCTGGATGGGCCACTCAAGGTACATTCAGAGACTTGTCCCGAAGCCACTCCTGTGTTGTCTTGGCTGTGTGCTTAGGGTCGTTATCCTGTTGGAAGGTGAAACTTCGCCCCAGTCTGAGTTTGAGCGCTCAGAAGCAGGTTTTCATCAAGGATCTCTCTGTACTTTGCGCCGTTCATCTTTGCCTTGATCCTGACTAGTCTCCCAGTCCCTGCTGCTGAAAAACATTCCCACAATATGATGCTGCCACCACCATGCTTCACCATAGGGATGGTGCCAGGTTTCCTCCAGACGTGACGCTTGGCATTCAGGCCAAAGAGTTCAATCTTGGTTTCAGACCAGAGAATCTTGTTTCTCATGGTCAGAGTCCTTTAGGTGCCTTTTGGCAAACTCCAAGCGGGCTGTCATGTGCCTTTTACTGAGGAGTGACTTCCGTCTGGCCACTCTACTATAAAGGCCTGATTGATGGAGGTGCTGCAGAGATGGTTGTCCTTCTGGAAGGTTTTCCCATCTCCACAGAGGAACTCTGGAGCTCTGTCAGAGTGACCATCGGGTTCTTGGTCACCTCCCTGACCAAGGCCCTTCTCCCCTGATTGCTCAGTTTGGCTGGGCGGCCAGCTCTAGGAAGAGTCTTGGTGGTTCCAAACTTCTTCCATTTAAGAATGATGGAAGGCCACTGTGTTCTTGGGGACCTTCAATGCTGCAGACATTTTTTGGTACCCTTCCCCAGATCTGTGCCTCGACACAATCCTGTCTCTGAGCTCTACGGACAATTCCGTCGACCTCATGGCTTGGTTTTTGCTATGACATGCACTGTCAACTGTGGGACCTTATATAGACAGGTGTGTGCCTTTCCAAATCATGTCCAATCAATTGAATTTACCACAGGTGGACTCCAATCAAGTTGTAGAAACATCAAGGATGATCAATGGAAACAGGATGCACCTGAGCTCAATTTCAAGTCTCATAGCAAAGTGTCTGAATACTTATGTAAATAAGGTTTTACAGTTTTTTTTTTTTTTTAATAAATAAGGTATCTTTTTTTTTATATATATATTGTTACGTGTGACGTGTTTTTCTTTCTCCCCATTTCCCTGTGTAGTGTGTTTGTGTGTTCTGGGCATTACAGGTGTGCTGAGTTGCAGCTGACGATGGTGGGCGTGGCTTCGGTCCAGAGTCCTGGCAGCTGTAGCTGATTGACGAGAGTATACCGGTTTGCCATGTGAGCTCGAAGAAGAGGGGAGAGGACACTTGTTATTTGGCTGTTAATTTATCATCTTTGTTTGTGTTCCAGCCTGTTCTCCTGATGTACTCCACCCTACCTGGGTCCTGGAGAAGGGAAAGGTAGTTCTGCCCATGGGTGTACATTCACACGTAGATAACCCATTGTTTTACACACTAGGTTAGCCGGGCGGGTGTCACCCCTGTATTTATGGTAACAGGTAGGAAAGTGGGATAGGGTTTAGAGTGTGATAGGAAGGTTTAGGTGTGTAGAAGAGGAGGGACCTTTTGTTTATTTTCATTAATTGGACCCCGTTCCCAAATATTCCCTTCTCTTACCTTCCCTGGTTTATTTGATTGGTTTGTTGTTTCTTTATGGGTGTTGTTTATTTTGTTTAAGTACATTACTAAACGTCCCCCGAGGGCTAAGCTTGAGATCTGGTTGTTGTCTGGTTATTTCAGTTCATTACACCCCACATTTCTTCCCCATTCATCTAGTTTACCCTGTGTGCGCAGGCCCAGGCATTTACGTCTCCTCAGACGAACTACACCCGAGGGGAGAACGTAACATATATACATTTACAAAAATGTATAAAAACCTGTTTTTGCTTCGTCATTATGGGGTATTGATGAGGGAAATGTTTTATTTAATACATTTTAGAATAAGGCTGTAACGTAACAAAATGTGGAAAAAGGGAAGTGGTCTGAATAGGATCTGCAGAGAGGATCTGCAGAGAAGAAATGGGAGAAACTCCCCAAATACAGGTGTGCCAAGCTTGTAGCGTCATTCCCAAGAAGACCCGAGGCTGTAATCGCTGCCAAAGGTGCTTCAACAAAGCACTGAGAAAAGGATCTCAGTCCTTATGTAAATGTGATATTTCAGTTTTTTGTATTTTTATAAAATTAGCAAACATTTCTAAAAACCTATTTTTGCTTTGTCATTACGGGGTATTGTGTGTAGACTGATGAGAAAAACTAAACAATTTAATCAATTTTAGATTAAGACTAACGTAACATAATGTGGAAAAAGTCAAGGGTCTTTCTCCATTCTGATTGTTTTATACTGTTCAATTAACCCCCCCCATAAACATCTGAATTTTCATAAATGTTTGCACTCATTGGAGATCATGTACACACATAGGGCTGCACGATATGGGCAAACGATCTAGGCCTTATTTTTTACCAAATGTTGTAATTGCGATTTGACTTGCGATTTTGAGCAAAACACTTGGGTGAACTGATGACATCATGGAAATAGAATGATTATTCTAATTCTATAGTAAGAATATAATAGTGGACACTTTGAATACAGCGTTGTTTGACATGACAACGAATGAAAATGCCAGGGAGAAGTTATTGTGACAGAGTAGGAACCAAAGTGTTGATAAGTGTTTCCTAGGAGATCCTTAAATCTAGCTACTTCATGTAGCTAACATATTCATGGTTCTTCTATTCCTCTTGATTTATACAAGCAACACGCTCTCCCTCCCCTCCCTCTCTCCCTCTCTCCCTCCCCTCCTGGAGGACCCTGCCTCAGGACTACCTGGCCTGATGACTCCTGGCTGTCTCTCCCCCTCTCCTCCCAGAGGACCTGAGCCCTAGGACCATGCCTCAGGACCACCTGGCCTGATGACTCCTGGCTGTCCCCAGTCCTCTCCCTCTCTCCCTCTCCCAGAGGACCTGAGCCCTAGGACCATGCCTCAGGACTACCTGGCCTGATGACTCCTGGCTGTCCCCAGTCCTCTCCCTCTCTCCCTCCCCTCCTGGAGGACCTGAGCCCTAGGACCATGCCTCAGGACTACCTGGCCTGATGACTCCTGGCTGTCTCTCCCCCTCTCCTCCCAGAGGACCTGAGCCCTAGGACCATGCCTCAGGACCACCTGGCCTGATGACTCCTGGCTGTCCCCAGTCCTCTCCCTCTCTCCCTCTCCCAGAGGACCTGAGCCCTAGGACCATGCCTCAGGACTACCTGGCCTGATGACTCCTGGCTGTCCCCAGTCCTCTCCCTCTCTCCCTCCCCTCCTGGAGGACCTGAGCCCTAGGACCATGCCTCAGGACTACCTGGCCTGATGACTCCTGGCTGTCTCTCCCCCTCTCCTCCCAGAGGACCTGAGCCCTAGGACCATGCCTCAGGACTACCTGGCCTGATGACTCCTGGCTGTCCCCAGTCCTCTCCCTCTCTCCCTCTCATCCCGGAGGACCTGAGCCCTAGGACCATGCCTCAGGACTACCTGGCCTGATGACTCCTGGCTGTCCCCAGTCCTCTCCCTCTCTCCCTCTCTCCCTCCCCTCCCGGAGGACCTGAGCCCTAGGACCATGCCTCAGGACTACCTGGCCTGATGACTCCTGGCTGTCCCCAGTCCACCTGGTCGTGCTGCTGCTCCAGTTTCCACTCTTCTGCCTGCGGCTATGGAACCCTGACCTGTTCACCAGACTACCTGCTACCTTGTCCCAGACCTGCTGTTTTCAACTCTCTCTCTCTCTCTACCGCACCTGCTATTTCAACCTCTAAATGCCCGGCTATGAAAAGCCAAATTACATTTACTCCTGATGTACTGACCTGTTGCAACCTCTACAACCACTGTGATTATTATTTGACCCTGCTGGTCATCTATGAACTTTTGATCTGGCCTTAATGGCCATGTACTGTTATAATCTCCACCCGGTACAGCAAGAAGGGGACTGGCCACCCCTCAGAGCCTGGTTCCTCTCTAGGTTTCTTCCTAGGTTCCTGCCTTTCTAGGGAGTTTTTCCTAGCCACCATGCTTCTACATCATTGCTTGCTGTTTGGGGTTTTAGGCTGGGTTTCTGTATAGCACTTTGTGACATCTGCTGATGTAAAAAGGGCTTTATAAATCCATTTGTAATAAATATTGTGGATTGGATAATTTGATTTATATTAAGAAGCAAAGTGAAAACAGTATCGATAGATTTATTTGTAGAAAAAATGGAAGTGCTGCTAAGGTACAGAATAGACAGAATGTGCTCTTTGGTAAAAGGAGTAAATTGGTCATCAAAAAGAAAGGGCACTCTTCATATAATTAAAACAGACTATTTGCATGTTCAATGGAAACAAATATTTTAAACTCTTGACGCGTTCCGGCTGCATGTCCTTCGTCAGGGAGTACAAAGACACTATAGTAGATTCATACTAAGACGCAAAGTGAACTACAAATGTGCTCCTTGAGTGACAGGGGGCGGGGCTAGGTCTGTGTGGAAAGCGGCATGGAGAGAGAGAGAGAGAGAGAGAGATGACTCAAGTAGCGGAGTAAACTATAAAAATGTGCGTTACACACGGGGTATCACATTTAACAAACCAAAACTGTAAATACCGTTATAGAAAGTAAAGTAAAAACCAGTCCGTGCATCAATACCTGTATATCGTGAAATTCGGTATACCACCCAACCCTGCACTGCCCATGACTACCTCTTGAAGCTGGGTGAGAGAATGCCAAGAGTATGCAAAGCCGTCATCAAGGCAAAGGGTGGCTACTTTGAAGAATCTCAAATATATTTTGAATTGTTGGAACACTTATTTGGTTACTACCTGATTCCATATGTGTTATTTAATAGCTTTGAAGTCTTCACTATTATTCTACAATGTAGAAAATAGTAAAAAAAATTAAGAAAACCTCTGGAATGAGTAAGTGTCCAAACTTTTGACTGGTAGTGTATATTATCCTATTATAACGCTTAGAACATCCATTAGGTCCATCACTTCATAGAACTTTTAATGAATACCGTAAACATCTTTTTGGTTTATTCTGTAGCTTGGCTAGATATATTGGTCCTGTCTTTCAGGGTAGAGGCATGTTGTTGTGTTTCTATGAGTCTATAGTGTAACGTGTGTGTGTGTGAGTGAATGAGTGAGTGTGTTTGTCACTCACGTTCCCTCGATCAGCCAGGTGCACTTGGTCTTGTACTTGTAGTTTCCTGGTCCGTCTGTCAGGAACCCTGAGGGGCCCGTCAACCTATAGGAGAGAGAGAGAAGAGGTCAGAGGTCAGGCCAGTCAGCCAATAGGAGAAAAAAGCAGCAGAATCAGTCATGTTTTAAGGAAGCTCTCATCAGCAGCACCAACCAGTGGCCAAGAAAGTGGAACCACACAAAAGAGGAGACCAGGGTAGAAGCACTATGTAAGGAAAAGGATATAGATGTAACATATGGACCATTTTTCTTAACGTTTAAACGGCCCGGTCGACTCCCATTTCTGAGTGTATATTTGGCCTTGTGTTTTTAGGTTATTGTCCTGCTGAAAAGTGAATTTGTTGGAAAGCAGACTGAACCAGGTTTTGGCTGTGCTAAAGCAGACTGAACCAGGTTTTGGCTGTGCTAAAGCAGACTGAACCAGGTTTTGGCTGTGCTAAAGCAGACTGAACCGATATACCGATAGCATGCAGCCACCACCATACCGATAGCATGCAGCCACCACCATATCTATAGCATGCAGCCACCACCATATCTATAGCATGCAGCCACCACCATATCTATAGCATGCAGCCACCACCATATCTATAGCATGCAGCCACCACCATATCTATAGCATGCAGCCACCACCATATCTATAGCATGCAGCCACCACCATATCTATAGCATGCAGCCACCACCATATCTATAGCATGCAGCCACCACCATATCTATAGCATGCAGCCACCACCATATCTATAGATGCAGCCACCACCATATCTATAGCATGCAGCCACCACCATATCTATAGCATGCAGCCACCACCAATCTATAGCATGCAGCCACCACCATATCTATAGCATGCAGCCACCACCATATCTATAGCATGCAGCCACCACCATATCTATAGCATGCAGCCACCACCATATCTATAGCATGCAGCCACCCACCATTCCTATAGCATGCAGCCACCAACCATACCGATAGCATGCAGCCACCACCATAACCGATAGCATGCAGCCACCACCATACCTATAGCATGCAGCCACCACCATACCTATAGCATGCAGCCACCACCATACCGATAGCATGCAGCCACCACCATACCGGATAGCATGCAGCCACCACCATAACCTATAGCAATGCAGCCACCACCATACCTATAGCATGCAGCCACCACCCATACCGATAGCATGCAGCCACCACCATACCGATAGCATGCAGCCACCACCATACCTATAGCATGCAGCCACCACCATACCGATAGCATGCAGCCACCACCATACCGATAGCATGCAGCCACCACCATACCGATAGCATGCAGCCACCACCATACCGATAGCATGCAGCCACCACCATACCGATAGCATGCAGCCACCACCATACCGATAGCATGCAGCCACCACCATACCGATAGCATGCAGCCACCACCATACCTATAGCATGCAGCCACCACCATACCGATAGCATGCAGCCACCACCATACCTATATCATGCAGCCACCACCATACCGATAGCATGCAGCCACCACCATGCTTGAAAAAATGAAGAGCGGTACTCAGTGATGTGTTGGATTTGCCCCAAACATAACGGTTTGTATTCAGGACAAAAAGTTAATTTCTTTGCAGTTTTACTTTATTGCAAACAGGATGCATGTTTTCGATTTTTTAAATTCTGTACAGGCTTCCTTCTTTTCACTGTCATTTAGGTTAGTATTGTGGAGTAACTACAATGTTGTTGATCCATCCTCAGTTTTCTCCTATCAGCCATTCAACTCTGTAACTGTTTTAAAGTCACCATTGGCCTCATGGTGAAATCCCTGAGTGGTTTCCTTCCTCTCTGGCAACTGAGTTAGTAGTAGTGTATTGGGTGTATTGATACACCATCCAAAGTGTAATTAATAACTTCATCATGGTCAAAGCGGAAAGTATTCAGACCCCTAGACTTTTTCCACATTTTGTTACATTACAGCCTTTTTCTAAAATTGATTAAATTATTTTTTTCTCATCAATCTACACACAACACCCCATAATGACAAAGCAGCAAAAACAGGTTAAGAAATATTTGCACTTGGGCCTAATGAATGTATTTACATTGACTGATTTCCTTATATGAACTATAAAATCAGTAAAATCTTTGAAATTGTTGCATGTTGTGTTATATTTTTGTTCAGTGTAGTTAACCAAATAGCGGACTAACTGTTTAGCAGTCTTAGGGCTTGGGGGTTAAAGCTGTTACCACTTGCAATGCGGTTGCAGAGAGAACACTGACTTGGGGGGCTGGAGTCTGACAATTTTTGAGGGCCTTCCTCTGACACCACCTAGTATAGAAGTCCTGGATGGCAGGAAGTGATGTAATGGGCCGTATGCACTGCCCTCTGTAGCGCCTTGCGGTAGGGTGCCAAGCAGTTGCCATACCAGGCGGTGATGCAGCCAGTCAAGATGCTCTCAATGGTGCAGCTGTAGAACTTTGAGAATTTGAAGACCCATGCAAAATAATTTCAACGTTCTGAAGGGGAAAGGGGCGTTGTCGTGCCCTCTTCACGACTGTGTTGGCGTGTTTGGACCATGATAGATCCTTAGTGATGTGGACACCGAGGAACATTAAGCTATCGACCCGCTCCACCCGCCCCGTCGATGTGAATGGGGTCGTGCTAGCCCCTGCATTTCCTGTAGGCCCCGATCAGCTCCTTTGTCTTGCTGATGTTGAGGGAGAGGTTGTTATCCTGGCACCACACTGCCAGGTCTCTGACCTCCTCCCTATAGACTGTCTCATCGATGATCAGGCCTACCACCTTCACCAAACTTAATGATGGTGTTGGAGTCCAGGACCTCTATACCAGGCGGGTGTCAGAGAAAGGTCCTAAAATGGTCATCTGAGTCATTGACACTATTGAATATAAAAATTTTAAAAATTAACATTCCAGTTTTACTATTACTTTATTTTAGCAGGGGGAGAGCCCTGCATCAATACAGCAAATGAACAACACATCTATAAACATATAAACACAATCACTATAATTATATATGTGTACCAATAGTAAATAAGACACTCGAAAGCCATGTCAAAGTCAACATCAAATACACAGTCTATGCTAATACATTGTAGGTTTATCTATATTTATATAAAAAGCCACTCCATTCCAACCATTATTATGAACAATCCTCCCGTCACCAGCCTCCACTGGCTTTTATATAGACCCACAACGTATAGCCTGTGTATTTTATGTTGACTATGAAATGCTGTGGTTTGAGTGCTTTATTTACTATTGGTACAAATATTTCATTATAATGATTGAGATTGATTGATTTTATATATATATATATATATATATATATATATATATATATATATATATATATATATATATATATATATATAAAATCAATCAATTCACACACATACAGCTGCGGAAGAAATTAAGAGACCACTGCAAAAATATACGTTTCTCTGGTTTTACTATTTATAGGTATGTGTTTGGGTAAAAATAACATTTTTGTATTATTCTATAAACTACTGACAACATTTCTCCCAAATTCCCAAATAAATATATTGTCATTTAGAACATGTATTTGCAGAAAATGACAACTGGTCAAAATAACAAAAAAAGATGCAGTGTTGGCAGACCTCGAATAATGCAAAGAAAGTAAGTTCATGTTCATTTTTAAACAACACAATACTAATGTTTTAACTTAGGACGAGTTCAGAATTCAATATTTGGTGGAATAACCCTGATTTTCAATCACAGCTTTCATGTGTCTTGGCATGCTCTCCACCAGTCTTTCACATTGATGTTGGGTGACTTTATTCCACTCCTGGCCCAAAAATTCAAGCAGCTCGGCTTTGTTTGATGGCTTGTGACCATCCAGCTTCCTCTTGATCACATTCCAGAAGTTTTCAATGGTGTTCAGGTCTGGAGATTGGGCTGGCCATGACAGGGTCTTGATCTGGTGGTCCTCCATCCACACCTTGATTGACCTGGCTGTGTGGCATGGCGCATTGTCCTGCTGGAAAAACGAATCCTCAGAGTTGGGGAACAATGTCAGAGCAAAAGGAAGCAAGTTTTCTTCCAGGACAACCTTGTACGTGGCTTGATTCATGCTTCCTTCACAAAAGACAAATCTGCCCGATTCCAGCCTTGCTGAAGCACCCCCAGATCATCACCGATCCTCTACCAAATTTCACAGTTGGTGCGAGACACTGTGGCTTGTAGGCCTCTCCAGGTCTCCGTCTAACCATTAGATGACCAGGTGTTGGGTAAAGCTGAAAATTGGACTCATCAGAGAAGATGACCTTACTCCAGTCCTCTACCGTCCAATCCTTATGGTATTTTGCCCCTAGGAGCCTGTTTCGAACCGTGCTCGCCGTGCACTTCACCCCAGCTGCCGTTTGCCATTCTTTTTGTAGGTCACTTGATGTCATCCTACGGTTGTTGAGTGACATTCGAATGAGTTGGCGGTCATCCCGGTCAGTAGAGAGTCGTTTTCGCCCTCTGCCGGTCTGTAGCTTTGTTGTCCCCCAATGTCTGAACAGTGAGAGACAGAATAACAACAAAAAAAATCCAGAAAAACGCATGTCAAAAATGTTAGAAATTGATTTGCATTTTAAATGAGGGAAATAAGTATTTGAACCCCTCTCAATCAGAGAGATTTCTGGCTCCCAGGTGTCTTTTATACAGGTAACGAGCTGAGATTAGGAGCACACTCTTAAAGGGAGTGCTCCTAATCTCAGCTTGTTACCTGTCTAAAAGACACCTGTCCACAGAAGCAATCAATCAGATTCCAAACTCTCCACCATGGCCAAGACCAAAGAGCTCTCCAAGGATGTCAGGGACAAGATTGTAGACCTACACAAGGCTGGAATGGGCTACAAGACCATCGCCAAGTAGCTTGGTGAGAAAGGTGACAACAGTTGGTGCGATTATTCGCAAATGGAAGAAACACAAAAGAACTGTCAATCTCCCTCGGCCTGGGGCTCCATGCAAGATCTCACCTCGTGAAGTTGCAATGATCATGAGAATGGTGAGGAATCAGCCCAGAACTCCACGGCAGGATCTTGTCAATGAT